AATAAGCCACTAATGATCCACTTCAGTGTCACTAAGTACTTCAAATACAAATCCATTGAGAAATGTATTCCCCAGCTAATGAAAGTAACATTTATCTACATAAATATTTTCACTATTGATTAGTGCATTTCAGTTTACAATGGAATGTATATTATAAGTTTCATAGCTCCCAGCTTACCGGTAGTAGGGTATCCAAGCTGTCTGCATACAACTTGAGCATTAGCATTAGACCAGCCATCATCACAGACTGTTCCCCAGCTATTACCATAGCATATCTCAAGGCGACCTTCATGATATGAAGCACCATTGACAAGACGAAGTGTACCCTGGCTACATTGACCTACCGATTTTAAGATCATTAATATGGAATTGGTTAGCAATAATTTTGAGGCATAACAATTCAAGGTGGAGATGTTATCATTGTCAATGATGAAAAGGTTACATATGTACTCTTGTAATTTCACACTTGCCACATTCATGAATGCAATATGACCTCACTCATGATTGATATAGGATAATGGAAAATGACATCACATATGTAGATATACAGCAACAACATCACATGACAATAAACTAAAAGTAATGCACACATATGCATGTACCTTTAAGTACTACAAGGACTTTCATCTATTGATAGACTGACCATTAAAATGTACAAACATCAATTGGAGGGTTTCCCAGCCTCAATGCATTACATAAGTGAGCTAAACAGCATGCCCCATGAGCTGACAAGCACCACAATACAGTGCTTGGCTTTTAAAGAAACTGTAAAATTTGTAAAAAAATTCAATTTTGATCAAAATCTGCTCAAACTTTCTAAAAACATAAAAACATGTACACACATCAGAAAAAAAAATTATAAAAATGCTGACTTATTTTCTAACCATTTTTGGCAAAATTTGGCACACTATTATAAGGACTTTGACCTGAGAGCTTTAAAAAATTCAATTTTGATCGGAATCAGCTTAAAATTTTAATGCAACTTAAGTACATGTATATGTATCAGAAAAAATTGCAAAAAAGAGAATCTTCTATTTGTCATTTTTAAACAAAATTTGGAAAACAATTTTTAACAACTTTAAAAAGTTGTAAAAAATCCAAATTTGATCCAACTTCCTATGCAGCAGAAGAAAAGATATAAAAATGATTTCTCCTTTCAATTTTGACAACATTTGGCTCGAGACCAAGTATACTACAGTACAATCATAAGCTTGAAGTTGAACCACAGTAAAGTGTTTATGCTTGAACTGAAGACCTGCAGCATATACTCAGTAACAAGAATACTCTTGTCAGTAACAATAGTCTAGAACCATGCACCGACTCAAAGATTAGAGTATCACTTTACCTTTAATATAAATGAAATTCAAAAAGACCAGGAGTACGATTAGAAGGAAATGTTTCTTAGCAGTAGAGTGCAGCAACATAATCTGGCTTGCCAATTGATGGCTTACTTTGCCAAACCACACCTTAATACTGAATGCCACAATCCTCTGTCTGTTGGAGTGTCATCACCACCAATCAGTATGATCTAAATCTCAAATGGATTTTTACTGTGAAAGTATATAGATATGTATTTAATACAAAACTGATAATTATACTGAATAAAAAGACACACTATTCTACTGACAAATATAAAATGTGAAATGAAACACATCAATGGTGCTCAATAAGGAGGTGGTGGTTCATCACGAATGCCAGTAGACTCATCAGTACCAGGGTTTGTTCCTCCATATCCTTGTGGTTCCTGCTGTGGATACCCAACTGGTGCTTCTTGCTGCTGCTGCTGTGGATAACCAGTTTGAGAATAATCCTGTTGAGGATATCCTTGTACAGCAAAACCCACTGCTGGTGCAGCATAACCAGGATAAGCCATTGGTGCAGTTGGTTGTGTCTGCTGTTCCATATAATCTGAGTAAGATGGAGGAAGAGGTTGATTTTCTGCCTTAGGCTGGGATTGTGTATAAGCTCCAGTTGTAGTACTAGTAGTTTGTGCTGGAAGTGATGTCATTTGAACTGCAGGAGCTGCTTGCCTGGCTCTAGTTCCAGAGAGGCTTAATTTGGAATGTAATACAGCTACACATATAACAATCATTGCAAATACAAAGAGTAGGAAAACAATACCACCGATTGCTCCTCCAATCATAATTCCTAAAAATGCACGAAGGCCTGCAGAATAAAAATAATAAAGTTATGCTACTTCACAATTTAAGGTATTAATGATCATAGGAGTTTAAAGAATCTTGTTATAAATAAATCATAATTATGTAAGGTACATGTTACATGATGTGCATGCATTATTATTGTGTACCACAGATGACTCCAGCATCTTCAGAGTGACGACAATTATGATTAGTTGTATGAGAGCAGTTTGTAAGGTATGATTCAGATCCAGTACAAGCAACATCATCCATTAATATTCTTCCTGTTCCTGCTCCAAAGTATGCATTACTATATGCGGTCCCTGTATAAATTTAATGCAAAATAATTTATTGAATATTCACTTCAGTATGCATGCATAATTGCATGTGGACTTGAGTCAAATAGTATTATTATACCCAAAGGCATACACTTTATTGAAACTAAACTCAAGTTATAATTATAATTATAGGTGGTAGCCTATATGTAGAATTGAGGTTTAGCTTTCAACCTATAACTCAATCATTAAGAATATACATTGCACATGTACCTGTAAGATCATATCCCAACTGTCTACATACAACAGTAGCATCATTAGTATCCCATGAATCATCACAGACAGTACCCCATGATCCATTTCTGCATACTTCAACACGTCCTTCTAAACTGCTGGATCCTCCAACAAGACGAACTTCTCCATCAATACAAACTGCAAACGAGACACCTACGGTGCGTGGCCTTGCCCCTATAGCTGTTTGATTATCAAAATTAAAAGAAATTTTAACATGCAAATTGCATATATAAAACAAGTGTACTCCTGAGGGATAGCAGCTAGCTTGCATAGATCTACGTAGACTACCTGCAGAAGTAGCAGCATGCAAGCTACTCCAGCTACTCCCAAATTGGAGGTGTGGCATGATATCTCAACTATTAATTAATTATTTGATGGCAGCATAAACCCAGCAAGCCCTGCAACAAGAAGGAAGTTTCAGGTTTTTCTCTTGTTATAAGCACTATATCACAATATTGGCACAAATACTGTTGCCTAGATGTAAATTGAGTGATTTTAGAGAGTTTAGGACCTTTAGACTATACCTACAGTTCACTCGGGTTGAAATTCAAGAAGCTATAACTCACCAACAAGAAAGATTTAAAGAGTTCCACACATATTAAAACAATAACTAGTCTTGATCTACTAGAAAAGAGTCTCAATTACTTCCAGAGTACTACCGCTAATGCTGGGCATTTTCTCGTGAGTTAAAAAGCTTCTACTAGCTAGAGCTGCTCTCTAAACATCTCAAGGCAGTAAAGCAAGACTTTTCCTAACAAAAGAGAAGCTCTCACAGATTTAGAATGTGCGATTGCAAAGATATACA